CCGGGGCGATCGAGGAGAGCTTCGGGGAGGACCGCTGCGACCAGGCAGCTGCGCCACCGGCCAGGTCCTGCGGCGGCGGGAGGTTGTCGCAACCGACGTCGCCGCCGCTGTTGGAATCGTCGTCGTCGTGGCTCGTTGTCGTCGTCCACCGTCGTCGTCGTCAGTGTCGCCAGTCTCGTCAGTGCCGTCCATGTTGTCGTCATTGTCGTCGTCGTCGTCATCGCCTTGCGTCGTCCGTCGTCCGTCGTCGTCGGTCGTCGTGGTCGTCGTCGTCGTGGTCGTCGTCGTCGTCGCTTCGGAGGCTTCTGGGCGTTTCTGGACGCTCTCGTTGCCGCGGCTGGGCGCGGCACGAGCAACTGGCCGAGATGCAGGAGCCCTGGGGGTGCGGTGGGCAGAAGAGGAGGGGCTCGCTCGCTCAACGTCGACACGGGAATGACCCGCACTCGCCCACACATGGTGCAACCCGTGCAAACACTGAGGGACCCAACCTTAGTGGGCCCTGGAAACGACAAGGCCGTTTTTTTACCGGTTCCGTTTTGCCGTTTTTTGCCGGTCCGGACGCCGTTTTTTTACCAACTTCGCCGTTTTTTGACCGGTTCCGGCTCCGGCTCCAATCCTGGAGCCGTTTTTTTGCCGTTTCCGGTCGCCGTTTTTTTTTGCCGTTTCCATTTTCAAGGGGCATTTTTTGGAAACGGGGAAAAAACGGCCCTGCCGTTTCCGGGGCCCACTACGGACCCAACTAATCTTGAAAGCCCCTGCGGGGGAGAAAGGAATTAGAAAGCGTGACGCCTAGGGGACCGCGACGGAGGAAGGACACTTCGCCGTCGCTTCCTCCACCCTTCTCCCCGATTGCCCCTTCAATCTCTGCGCCTGGACGCCCCGCAAAACCCGGAAGGGCGAGGCCCCGTGTGCAGCAGCACCGCGCCCCGCTCGACCCCTCGAGGCAGCAGCCCGTTGCTGGCGACAGCCGCGCGCGCGGCAGCACCCCGAGGGGGGGCGGGGGGGGGGCGAGGCCTCGCCTGGAACTGCGCAGGTAAACGGAGCACCGCCCCGCTGGCCCCCCCGTGCACGGGATGCAGGAAAGCGGAGGCTGCCCAGGAAGAAGAAGAAGAAGGAGAAGAAGAAGAAAACGAAGAAGAAGAAGCCGCGCCCAGACGGCGCATCGGCAGAACATGACATGACAAACTTCACAAGGCCGGGGAGATTCACGCGACTGCCAAGGATGGCGACAAAACACAGAACCCAAGGCCGGCGGGCAAAACACAGAACCCAAGGCGACGGTGGCGGGCAAAACACAGAACCCAAGGCTGGCGACACCGAATTACTGTTACTGCATGGGTTACCACGCCGTTGGATATTCCAGGGGCGGCGCCACGTGGCGACGGCTGCGCTCCTGGCAAGGCCCAGACAGGGCGAGGTCCAGTTTGGGTCCGGGGAAGCCACGACTCCGCTCGAACTCCCTGACGGCGCATCCATGAGCTTACCCTTGCGCGCCTGGCCTCAGTTTTGTTGCCCCCGACTGTGTGCCCAAGGGGAATGACAACTCCTTGATCGAGGATGTTTCAGCGGAAACCGTTGATGCTGTTTTGATGGCCTCTCAGAGCAGGTGTCGAGATAGAGACAAGCCTGGTGGCCGTGTCGAGAAACGACCAGTGGTCACCAGAACGGTCAAGACTGTTGGCTGCTCTGGCGATCCCAGTGGCACTGCCTGCCCCCATCCCGGAGTGATCCCGGAGAGTGATCCCAGGGGCGCAAACATGCCCCCTCACCTCGGTGCCTTTGAACTCCTCCCCCTGCTCCGCCTGCTCCTGCTCCCCCTCCTCCTCCTGCTCCTCCTCTTCTTCCTCCTCCTCCTCCTCCTCCTCTCCTCCTTTTCCTCCTCCTCCCCCTGCTTTTCCTGCTCCTGATCCTCCTCCTCCTCCTGCTCCTCCTCCTCTTTTGCCCTCCCCTGCCCTCCACTCTTCGGCGGCGCGCCAGGGGGGAGAGTCGAGGTCCTCGGAGCCCCTCGCGGCGTCGCCGAAGCTGCCAGCCGAGCGCGGGGGCCGCGACCGGGCTGGAGGTCCTCGCGGCCGCCGCCGCCGTCTCTCGGCGGTGGACGAACCTCCCTTCAGTAAACCTCCCCTTAGTGAAAACGGCCTGGGGCCGAAACCGACGGACCTGAACCCGCAAAAATGACGGCCGCGACGCCCTCTCGCGAACCGAGAACGACCAATTCCTTAAGCGACGCGTCAGGGTACTTAGTAGGTCTATCAACCTCCGAGTCTCGCAACATCGGGGGGAGAGGGCCTGAGCAAAAGAATGTGCCCTCGAGTGAGAGAGAAATGCGGGTTGGGAGGCAACTCCCAGGGAGACTTCGTGGGGAGGATCAGGGGCTGCCAAGCCGGGTTACGGTGCCATTACGCTAGACAGACTAGCACACACGAAACCCAGGATCAAACCCCATCTGGCCGGGCGGAACCATATTTGGCGGGATTGAGCGAGGCTATGCCGGATAGGGCCGGTTTTCGACCAACGCCGATGCTGACTTTGACCTCCCAGGAAATGCACCTTAAAACAGGGGGATACGTAAAACCCAATCCCTGGCTTTGCGGGACTGTCTGCTGGACAAACAGAGGCGGTACCACTCGGGGATACGATCAGGAACTTCGGCGCAGCGTGTTGCGGCGGCGGCCCCAACGACACGCTATACCTTGCGAGCGGATGGCGTGTCGCCCCGCTCCGCTGGGCGGGTGGGGAATGGTTCGCAAACGTTCCTGACTGCATTGTGGGAAATGGAATACGCCGCCGCAGTCCCCGACATCGTAAGGGCTTCAATCGGTCAACAAGTATGTGTCACAACTCGGGGAAATACGGTTGGGGAGCGTCCATCTACCATAAGGGCACCAAGAGGTGTTTCCCGAGTTTCCCGTTCTTTTCTGAGCGCCTGTTGGAAGGACTCGGAGACTGGTGGCGGAAAGTCGCCTGCGAAAAAAGAGTGTCGAGGGCCCCGCATTTATCGGGGGCGCGCAAACATGAATTAGCGATCCATGGATTTGGTGCGCGGTCGCCAACTCCGTGGATCGGGGGAGGTGCCCTCCCCAAAGTGCGGCCGGTGCTGCCCCGTCTGGCGGCGGAGATCCGCGATCTCCCATGGAAACAGGACCCGTCGCTAATCCACGCCCCCTTGATCCATGTTTGCGATCGCCTGAATGTAATCGCTCTCCCATGACGCAACGCCCGAAAGTGCCTTCCTCCCAAGCCCCCCCCCAGGAGATCCTGCGCCCTCCGGCGGCAGCGGGTCTTCTGGCAGCCGCGGCAGCGAGGGGCTGCGCGTCGCGTCTCCGAAGTAGGTGCCCACCTCCAGGCGGGGGCGGCGGCCGGAGGTGGGGGGGGAGGAAGGAGAACAAAAGGGGGAGGAGGAGGAGGAGGAGGAGGAGGAGGAGGAGGAGGAGGAGGAGGAGGAGGAGGAGGAGGAGGAGGAGGGAGGAGGAGGGGGAATAGGGAGGAGGAGGAGGAGGAGGAGGAGGAGGAGGAGGGAGGAGGAGGAGGAGGAGGAGGAGGAGGAGGAGGAGGATATTTGTTGGGCCACAACAGGCCGCTTCACCTCCAAAAAGAGCACGCTGGCCACGGAGGGAAAAACCTGCGAGTGGCCCAAAAGGGCCTCGAGGACTGAGCAGGTGGAGTAAGGGAGTACCCTACCCACAAAGACCTGCTCAGTCCGAGTCGTCGCCCCTCTCTCCGACCCGAGGCAGGACCTGTGTGTCCTCCTCGCGAAGAGCATGCACCTCCTGAGCCCGGGCGGCCTGGGGTGCTGCGCGGGAGGAACCCCGCTGGCGTGGCAGCGGGGCGGAGCGACGACATACGATGCTGCACTTCCCTCCGAGAGGTCGGTGGCAGCCCGAATCGGATGACGGACCCATCCCCCCCCCGACGGAGACTGGAAGACAGTCCCCCCCCCCCCTCGGGCTGAAAGCGGGCACGGGCGCATCGGGAGCGGCGAGGAAACGACCAGGGCGCTTTGCCGCCGCCGCCCTGCCACGCAGTGCTGGAGAGGCGGGATGCGAAGGGCTGGCTCGCCGCAGCCAGCCCTTGCTCAGCAGGAGGGTGCACCGCGGGCCCTCCTGCGAGAGGCGAGCCTCCGAGCGAGGAGCGGGGGGAGGCTCCTCCTTCCCCCGCCAACCGAGGGTGCACAGGGCCCGGGGGGGCGGCCTTGGGGTGCTCTCCGAGGCCCCTCCCCTACCCACCCCTCCGCGGCAGCGGATCCCGCCCGCGCTGCCCGGGGCAGCGGCGCGGTGCCCGGGTCCGCGTGCCGAGGGCGGCCCCCGAACTGGGGCCCACGGCGCCGCCGACGGCAGCGCCGACAGCAGCCCCCGATCGGGGGCCCGCGGCACTCGGAGGGCCCACGGGCCTCACGGCGTGCCACTGCCTCCAGAGCGAGACGGGGCACCTTGCCGTCGCTCGGACGTCCATTTCCCGTGCATTTGTTGGCTTCGTGCGTGTTTTTGTTTTGCTCGATGGTCCAGGATGCTCCTCGATGGTCCTCGCCGAGGAAAAAATGCACACGTCCGAGCGGTGCCGGGGTACTAGAGGCTCCACTCACCTCAGCACGCCCAGGAGAGGAAACGACTGTGGCTGCCGAAGAAGAGGCGGCAGCACGACCAGGATGAACCCCCTTGCCCCACGACGGAGGCTGGACGACAGTCCCCCCCCCTGCCTCGGGCTGCAGGCCGGCACTGGCATGTCGAGCGCAACTGTGGCGCTGTTCGGGCGGTTCGCCGCCGCCGCGCCACGGCCAACCCCTGCCTAGCAGTGGGGTGAGCAGAGGGCCTCCCTACATAAGATGAGCCTCCATGCGAGGCGTGGGCGACTCCTCCTTCCCCCGACTCGACGGCAACCTCCTCCGCCACCATACCTGGTGACTCTGCCGAGTCCCAGCCGTCCCAGGGGCTACGTTCTACCGTGAGGTGAGCGGCTTTGGGGTGGAAACCTCCGCAGGTCTTCGTCCAGGCGTACCTAGTTCCCGCACTGCGCGGGCCACGGTGGCATAAACTCAGCAAGGTGCGGGATTGGCCGTGACAGCTGTGCGCCTTGCAAGCCAGACATGCCACCATGCGCGAGGAGTCCGCACGCTCGAGCGAGATGCAAGAGTGGTTGGGCGCGGCTAGCTTTTCTGGGTCCAATCAGCTGACCTCCGAACACACCCCGCCTGGGGGCGGAACGCGCGTACCAACAGGACCAGCATACGGGTGGGCAACAAACTGCGCAGGAGGTCGACCACCTCTTAACGCTCGCAGGCAAACACGGCACCTCCAGAAAGACCCTATCTGCTGCCACTGGTGCGGCGGGGAGGCCTCACGACCCTTAGCAACAACGCGCACTAAAGGCGTGCCGCCGTCGAGTCGAGCTGCACCTCCAGAAAGACCCTATCTGCTGCCACTGGTGCGGCGGAGAGGCCTCACGACCCTTAGCAACAACGCGCACTAAAGGCGTGCCGCCGTCGAGTCGAGCTGCAGTCTTGGCCAAAGCGGCATCAGGCGTGCTGCCAGGACGCCGACAGCCCTAGCAACGTCAAAGCCACGGTCGCGAGCAACAACCTCAACAACCGAGGCGATGGGGTGCGAAGCTGCAGCGGCCTTCGCAGCTGGATCCAATAAATTGTTGCCAACACGCCAAAAAGGATCCTGGGCGTCGGCCGCCTCGTCAATGGTCAGGTGAGCCTTGACCTTATGCGCGGTCAGATGCGTGATATTCGAACGAATACATTGGGCACAAACGCAACGCACAACATTCAGGCAGTCTGAGTGCACAGTAGAGTGGCTAGTAATGAACCTCACAGCAGCGCAGAAGGTATGGTATTCAGCACTCTGGGGGGGAAGGTCTGGGGGCATGGCGGCCAAACAGGACCCCTAATACGTGTGACTGCTTGCGAGGTGACAGGGTCCACCAGCGTAGCAACCCGACCCGCCCTGGTAAATTCATTAACACGGTGACGAAGGGAAGAGCCGTCAACGAAAAAAGACTACAACAATCATTCCCAAAGACGAGATGCACGAGTCCTTTGCAAAACTCCGTAAAGACCCATTCCCCACGCAAAGGACGAAACAACCGCACGGCAGGGTGGGGGCAAACGGCCATGGCACGCCAGCGGGTCGTCAGCTGGAGCAGCCCATGCATGGACCTCAGCTGGCACGAGTGCAGTCCTAAGGTCGGCGCAATCCAGGCATTCCTACAATCGGTGCCACAATGAGTCCCGCCCAGACTGGCAGAGTTCGCACGCGTCTTCCGCTTGATACCCCTTGTCACGAACCTTAGCCCGCGTGTAAACGGCATCACAGAAGGAGAAGGAGGAGGAGGCAGCGGAGGAGGAGGAGGAGGAGGAGGGGGAGGGGAAGGATGAGGAAGAGGAGCAGGAGGGGGAGGAGGAGGAGAAGGCGGAGGAGGAGGAGGAGGAGGGGGGGGAGGCGGAGGAGGAGGAGGCGGAGGAGGAGAAGGAGGCGGAGGAGGAGGAGGAGGAGGAGGAGGAGGCGAGGACGGGGGACGAGGAGGAGGAGGAGGCGGGGGAAGGAGAGGAGGAGGAGGAACGAGGAGAGGAGGAGGAGGAGGGGGAGAGGAGGAGAAAGAGGAGGACGATAAGGATGAGTGGTGAAGGAGGAGGAGGAATAAGAGGAGGAGGATGAGGACGAGGACGAGGAGGAGGAGGAGGAGGAGGAGGGGAGGAGGAGGAGGAGGGGGGGGGAGGAGGAGGAGGAGGAGGAGGAGGAGGGCGCGGGGGAGAAGGAGGGGAGGGGAGGAGGATGAGGAGGACGAGGAGGAGGAGGAGGAGGAGGTGAAGGGGAGGAGGAGGAGGAGGAGGAGGACGAGGAGGAGTAGGAGCAGCAGCATCAGCAGGAGCAGGAGCAGGAGGAAGAGGAGGTGGAGGAGACGGAGGAGGACGAGAAGGAGGAGGATGACGAGGAGGAGGAGGAGGCGGGAGATGAGGCGGAGTAGGCGGAGGAGGAGGAGGAGGCGGAGGAGAAGGAGGAGGAGAAGGATGACAACGAGAAGGATGAGGTGGTGGAGGAGGAATAAGAAGATGAGGAGGAGGAAGATGATGATGAAGAGGAGGAGGAGGAGCAGGAGGAGCAGGCGGAGGGTGAGGAGAAAGGGGAGATCGCTGATGAGGAGGAGGAGGAGCAGGACCATGAGGCGGAAAGGGAAAAAGAGGAGGGGGGAAGGAGGGGAGAAGGAGGATGGGTGGAGGAAGGAAGAGGAGCAGAAGGCGGAGAAGGAGGGGAGGAGGCTGGAGGAGGGGAAGAACGAGGCAGGTATGAGGAGACGGGAGGCTAATGAGAAGGATGGGGGAGGAGGAGGAGGAAGAGGCGGCGGAGGAGGAGGAGCAGGCGGAGGAGGAGGAGCAAGAGGATGATGAGGATAATGAGGAGGAGGATGCTGCTGAGGAGGAGGAGAAGGAGGAGGAGAAGAAGAACGAGGCGGAGGCGGAGGAGGGGGAGGAGGAGGAGGAGGAGGAGGAGGAGGAGGATGCGGGGGAGGAGGAGGAGGAGGGAGAGGAGGGAAACGAGTAGTAG